CCTCAGAAACACTAATGCAATAATAATTAATATTTTCAGAATTAAACACTGACTAATGAATAGAATCTTTTAACAATTTTATCAAAGAACTAGCTTCAGAAGTATACAGGAAAAAATTCATCTTGACAGTGATGTTTGCAAAAGTGATACCTAAAAATGAGCTCCCTGAAACTGAATTTTGGCAGACAATTCTCAAAGGTAGAACGTGCAACTGTGCATTCATGCCTTCACTATATCAGCTATTACAGACTGTACTTATAAGTTATGATGGTAACTCCTTCTCCTCTTTTTTAGACTCTATATAATCCATGATTCCTGCTGTGACAGATAAATTGATTCACAAATTTACTGTAGTCAAAAATTTTAAATTACATATGTGTATAACTTTGTTCCTACAACTTTTGAAGTTTGGTGATGGTGATGGTAGAAAGGTTACTTATGACTTGTGACAAGCTTAGAATGGACTGCAGCTAAAAGAGTATTTCAAAGAACATAATGCTAATATGTTTGTAAATATTCAAGGAAGAAAGCAACTTTTATCACATTTCTTGATGTTTCAATACACTAGTAATAAATTAAATATTAATTATATATAATCTTACTACTATTTAATAGTGTGAATGAATATAGAACAGTAACTTCAATAATTCAAATTTCCTATCTTAGAATGTTTTATGTGGATATGTTAGACCACAGTAGTAGTAATTTTACTAAATTCTACAAACATTTGTTTAATTGTTTGTTTGGCCCAGAAGACCTACCTCTGTGGGTAAATATGCAATAGTAAGTCTTTCATCTTCAGCATTTCATCTTAGTACCTAAGGTACTAAGTACTGGAGAAACTTTTGCTGAATGAATAAATCCTTTTGTATCTCTGTTTTACAAACAATGTGTATGAAAAGCAGCCATCTTTAAAATATTTAGAAGATGGAAAAGCTATGCTGACATAACTGTAATTTTATACGAAGAAAATGTGTTTGGAAAAATTAAGCAATGTATCTAAAATCTCACAGGAAGTAAAGACAAGGTTATAGATAAGGCCCAGCAACTCGTGGTCCTTGGTACCTCTTAGTAAGTGTCTACCTACTTTATTTGCATGGATTTAACTACAAGAAATCAAAATCATTATTAATATCCAGAGATTATATTTATTGTGATTAATGATACATAAAGAGTTTATTTAATCCTCTGCATAATCCTTACAAATAGACCTTTTTTTTAAAAAAAGAGAGGATCAAAAGAACTAGGCTATTAGATAAAGAGTTAGAAGACTAGGCTTCAATAATGTGTTTGAAAATCTATTCTTTCTCCACACTATTTTAGTTTTGATACAAGGAATTCAAGCAAGATGCTAGCGCAATGACACAGATGCAAAAGAAAGATGCCCGGAGTATACCAGAGAAGTTGGAAAGAAAGAAAAGGGGCAAGTAGTAGTTTATCATGTGGGTTTTCTAAGAATATCTCAGCATGACCCAAAACACGTCTCTAATAAAAATTTATTCAAAAACTACTTCCTAAGTATTCTTTTTATCCAAATTTCCTATTGTACATAACTCCCATCATAAATGCCATAGTCTGTGAGATACAATTTTCCTGATTTTAAATTCCTTGGTGGCTGTTGCTTTTTTCTCATTTTGTGGTATATTATAAACTTATAAAAATAGTAAACATACTATATTACATGTTTGCAAAAAAGAAGAAAAATCAATTGTTTGATAATTTATTTGGGGTTTGCTTTAGGCATATTTTCTGAACTATAAATAGTTGCTTTCTTGTTCTCTGGCTCTGTCTCGCTCTTTCTCTGTCTTTCTTTCTCTTTCTCTCTCCCTTTCTCGCACCCTTTCTCCACCTCTCTCTTCTCTCCCTTCTTTCTCATCTCTCCCTTTCACGTTCTGCCTTTTCTAAACTTACTGCCAACTTCCCCTTAGTCGTGCCTGTGAGGCATACACAGCCAATAACAATCAATCTTGTATCAACATAAATCATGTGCTGGATATTTTTACAGTCTCTAGAGAAGTAAAAGTGAGTAAGATATGAGAAAAGCCCACAGTGTACTATCTCTTATGGCACTGGGTAAATAAGATTCAAGACAAACAGGTGGGGCCTTGTGGAAGCATTTACACAGCACAATGGGGGGGAAGGAGCTAACAGTCAGTTATTATTTATTATTCTAATGTATGTTTTGAAAGCCAGGATTGGCTTTTGAATCATTTTATAATACATGTCCCAAGTGAAGTAAATTTTGTATACAAATCAGATAATCTCTTCCACAGTTTAAATTATACAGTTTTGTATCATATAAATTTGAAAATCTTATCAAGGCAAAAAGGTTTGTACTACTTCTAGACCTGACCACCTCTCATTTCTCATCATATTAACTCAGATACCATCTCTTTAGCAACATTAAAAACATACACAGCACAGCCAACATGTTATATAATTTCTGCTTCTATCCTTTCAGAACTTTCCTTTTATCCAAAATGCTAATCCTCTTTCTTTTAGCTAACTCCAAGCTACATTTTAATGCTTTCTTCTACCTAGTAGTCATATAATTTCTGCTCAAGACTTTCATTTTCTAGAAATCCTCCCTGACCATAGAGTATGATCTCTGCACATTCGCTGACTCCTACAGCAATGACACAGTGCTCGTGGGGCCCCTCAGCACTGAATTGCTGAGTTAGTTTTCTCTGTTGCATCACAAATTTAGTAGCTTCAAGGACACATCTAAATAACAGGTTTAGTTACAACCTAGCTGATTTCTTTGCTAGGATACAATCAAAGTGTCAAGAAAGGCTTGATTCTCATCTGGAGAATCATAGGGAAGAATTTGTTTCCAGGCTTTCTCAATGGATTGGTATAACTCATCTGCTTGTGGTCATACAACTCATTCCATCCCGTCCTTTAAAGAGAGGAGGAGAAGCAAGGGTAAAGCGTAAGTCTCACAGCAGGAAAACTTCCTTACATAACAGGGATTCACATGCGTCATACCGTGTCTTTGTCAATTTCTCCTTTAGGTTAGAAACAAGCTGCAGGTCCTACTCACATGCAAAATGAAAGGCTTATAAACAGGTATGAACACTAAGATGTGTGTATCACGGGGGCCACCTTAATGTATGCTTATCACTTTTACTATCAAAGATTTATAAGCCTATTTCCTCAACTAGACCAGGATAATTTAATGGCACAAAATATATCTTTCTTAACTGTGTCTTCAGTAGCTAGCACTCAGAGATAGGTATGTAACTGATTCAAAATATTGACATAGAGTAAAGAACTACTTATGCTCTATATCATTTTATGACACTCTTAAAGGAAAGGGGATAAATTCATTATATAACTTTCCTCAAATGATGTTATTTTTGTTGCAATTATCACAGCCATATTCAAAACTGATGTTCAAATATATACTGCTTATACATAATATATGCTTAATAGAAATCTAAACAAGCTGAAGTGTACAGAACCAGCAAATAAACAGCATATCGCTGTCATTTAAAGACACAGCTCACAGGTAAATGTGACAATTACAATAAAGATGAATATGAAGATGAACAGAAGCCAATGAAGACATAGTATGAAAATTGTATCCCCCTTGGTTAGCTACTATATCAGTAGCTATGAACATTAGAGTTAACAAGTTAATATTTAAAAGTAATAAAAAGTTTTTAACTTGTTCAGAAGTACTCTTCTCTATGTCTACAACATATAAAATAACAAAAGAGGAAAAACACACTTTCCATAGTAATAACAGCACCCACTAACTGAACAGAACCACACAACACAGTGTGAGGGGACCATACATTGTCTGCTTTAGTTGTATTTCTTAATTCCAACTTTATACATTAAATTTACAGTGCACTGTAACAGTTTTGTTTACCCATCCCCTACTGTCCTTGTTCTCAAGCAACTGGGGTTAGTTTTGGTGAGGCATTTGAGTCAGACTTGTGGTTCACCGAGGGACTGGTTCGGAAGCTCGCATATTTTCCCTCCTTTGGAATTCTCTTAGGGCTGGTGTACCTTCTAAAGCAGCTTTTCAAACACAGTTAAAAATATGCAGCGCTCATAGCCACCTGGGACAAAGGACAGCAGATGAGGCAAGCAACAGACATATCTGAAAGTCAGAAAGAGAAAGCTGAAGAGTAAAACACATCAGGGGATTCAGCCATTGAGAGGCTTCTTCAGCTGCCAGGAAACAGAGGGCCGTATGCATGTCTGGGGATGACATTCAGAGACCTCATGGAACCCTAGAGTGAACTTGGTGCTCTGGGCAAGAAGGAAGATTCAGATAGAGTTCTCGGTCATTCTCACACAGAGAATGAGAATGGTAGAAAATTTGACAAACTTTTAACACAATTTTTAGCTTCATAATAAGCCCTCACTAAATGGTCAGTCTTAATTACCATTGTGAATTACAAAATTTCTTATTGCCAAATCTCATTCCTGCACCTGTATAAACAGAGAGCAAGAGAGAATTCAATTTTGGATGGAAAAATAGGTTGTACATTGCAACTACTTATTCCCTTCCTGTCCCATCCCAAATAGAAAACTGTCAGCAAGTCAGCTTTCACAGCTTCTATTTTGCTTCTTGCTATCTATATTCTTCCTCTTTATTTCTCTTCTTTAAATTTATATTCTAGCTGCATAATCTGTTCAGATTTTTATTCTTACTGTTCTTCAAAACAATAACCATAATTATTTCCTCACAGCTTCATGTACAAATGAACATTCATTCATTCACTCTATTTTGCCTAGTAAAAGTTCATAAACAACTTTTTGCATAAACATGTTGAACTAGTAGGCTTTTCACTCCTGAAATGAACTCTGTGGTTTTATTAAAATGGTAAATTTTTAAAATTCCTTAGTAAAAGAAAGAAAGAAAGAAAGAAAGAAAGAAAGAAAGAAAGAAAGAAAGAAAGAAAGAAAGAGAGACAGAGAGAGAAGGAGAGAGGGAGAGAGAGAGAGATGCTGGTATCTCAGGTGGCCAGGGTAGCCTGACTTACATCATCTCCACCATCATGGTATCATGTAGAACGAGTTAATGAGTCAGAACAATTTGTTCCCATAAGTACAAGCACAAATCTTCAGGTTGTTGAAAGACATTTCTCTATAGGCCATCTGGAAAAATAATTCAGTATTGCTCAGGAACTTGCTGAAATCTGTCCCTCACTAGACTCCTTACTGAGAAACATGTTCAGGAAATCCTAACAAAACAAAAGGTTGTCAGTAAATATCTAGTGGAAGGTCACAATAGAAACATAAAACTTGAGCATGCCCTGAATACGCAAGGTTTTATATCAAGTAGTTGCCAAATATATTCTTGAATTGTACTAGAAGTTATGATAAAACACTACTTTCTATAATTGTTAAAAAATAAAGATATGTGATTGAAATACAAAATTGCATTAGAAAAACATTTGTGACAAACCTGCTGTGTTTGCTTAAGACATCAGTAAAAATGGCTAACAATTTCAGAAAAATTCACTCTCTGTGATAATTAAAAGAAAATAAATTAAAACAACAATCAAATACTACATTAAATAATTAATGACTGCAATGTTTAAATATGATATACAAATATCATGAACTTCCATGCTTTAATAATTATCAATTCATACAGAATCTTGTTTCTTCTGTACTACTATGTTCACTGCAACACTATTCACAGTAGACAAGAAATGGAAAGAAACCATCAATGATGAATGCATAAAGAAACTATGGTAATAGAATATATATGATACAAGTCTTACTAAAGGAGATTCTGCCATTTTCCATTGACAATATGAATATACCTGAAGCTAAGGTAGGTGGGTAACTATGTGAGTGTGTTGGTTGATATACTGTGTCAATATGAGAAACTTAGAAATTTAGCTAAGCAACTCAGCAGGGTTCTCACTTTGTAAACATCCTTATCCTATATAAGGGCAGGGAACTGAGATGGCATGAGTGCTACACCCACCCGGCGGGGTGGGAGCTTGCTTACAATATAAGTGAGGAAAAGAGGCTTTGCCCTTGCTGCTTTTGCTGTCTTCTGTCGCCTTGAACCCTTGCCTCTGTGCCATGCCACCCTGCCTTGGAGCCAGCTGAGTATAGACTGACACCTCCACAGACCATGAGCTAAATAAACCTTTCCTTCCTTAATTTTGATTGTCAAGTATTTTGCCTCAGCAAGGAGAAAAAAGTAACTAAGACAGTGAGATAATAGATCAGTTCATCTGTTCCACCAACATAAACATTTTACTACATATATCTTATAACACCCTATTGTATATATTAAAGATATAATAATAAAATTTTAACCCTAACTTAGAAACTATTTTATTCTTTTTTGACCCTTCATATATTTTAAACTTGTCCAGTATTTATTCAGTAAACAATCCCTTAGATATAATGAGATTTTGTACTTTCCTATTCCTTCCACTTATGATCTACAATCTGAGGTCATTTTCCTTTTTATTAGGACAATTCTTATAGTACTACTGGTGATAAATTCTGTTCATACTTAATTCTTGAGAAATGATTTTCATAGATCTAGACTTCTACATTTTCAGTGATTTTGACAATTGAAAGATATCACTCATTATCCCTTGGTTAGCCCCTTATTCATTGAGAAGCTACCATTGTAATTTTTGGTGTTTGTTAAATGAAATTTTAAATTTTTATGTAGATTCTTTTAAAAATTTATCTCATACAATTTAAAATCAGTTATAATGTGCCTGTTTGGTTCTATTTTATTTCATATTTTAACTTTCTATCTTGAGATAATTAATATCTACATACAGTAATTAGAAAAATACACAGAGGTCCCATATACCCTCAACCCCATGTCATCTACGAAAACATCTTTCATAACTATGCAATAATATCACAGTACAGATGTCAAGAAAATCTGCCCTCCTTACTCATATTTTACAAGCTTTATATGCACTCCGTTGTGTAGGGAGCTGTGTATATACTCTATGCAGGTTTATCACATACAACCACAGTGAAAACACGAATGTCATGACCATAGAAGTCACTCTTATTGCCTTTCATAATTGGATAATTGCAGCTATGTCCTCTCGCCTGCATCCTTCCACCTCCAGACCCCAGACCCTGGCAATCACTAATATATTATCCATTTTGGAATTTTGTCATATTAAGAATTTAGATAAATAGAATCAGATAGTATGATTTTTGATTGACTTTTCTTTCAGCATAATTTCCCGTACCTTCATCAAAGTTGTATGTCTCAATTTTTATTCAGTTTTAATGCTGAGTAATATGCTATAGTATGTATGCACTCATTCACCCACTGAAGGGCATCTGGTAGTGTCCAATTTAGGGCTATTAAAAATACAACTGCTATAAACATCCTGGTTTAGGTTTGGGGTGAGCATAGGTTTTCATTTCTGCAATATAGATGCCCAAGAGTGTAGCTGTAAGGTAATTATATTTACTTAGGGAAGAAACTATCCATTTTTTCACAGAATAACTGTAATACTTTACTTTCCCATCAGCAATGTGTCCAATTTCTTTGTATCATTTCCAGCATTTTTGTGTGGTGAGTGTTTTTTGTCTTAACCATACTGAAAGTGAGCATACACTATTATCTTATCATGGTCTTAAATTCTATTTCCCTAATATTAAATGATTTTGAACATCTTTCCATTTGCTTGGTGACCACGTCATTCCTCTTCAGGCTCATGTTTGTTTACATCTCTCACCTATTTTTTAAAACTCAAGTTATTTGGTTATTTTGCTGTTGAGTGTGGGAATTCTTTATGTATCCTAGTTCTTTGTCATATTTCCTCCTAGTTTCTTGCTTTATACAATCCTCTTAGAAGTGTCTTCTGAGAAAAATAGTTTTTAACTTCAATTAGGTATAATTTATCAATTTTTCTTCTATGGATTATACGTTGGTGTCAAGTCTAAGAGCTATCTGTCTAATCCTTAAAAAATTTAAATTCTGCCTTGTTAGTTAAACATTTACCTTCACAGACTTACAATATTGTATAAGTTCAATTACCTCCAAAGTCCGCAGCCCTCAAGTGCTGCTAACATGTAGACACTCCACAATCAGCCTCAAGGTGAAATCTAAAATGACACCAAACATCAGTGAGATTTATGAAACAAACCTTCAGATAACTCCAACCCCAGATACCAAAGCCCCCACATCCAAACTGAGGTCTAACACATTTTGTAAAGGAAACAAGGAATTCCCAGTATGTATCCCAAATTTCTGACTTATACACTTCACAGACATACTAAATGTCACTAAGTGATGACACACTGTTGTATAGAAATTATAAAAGAAATAGTTACCACCTGTAAGACAGATTGTATGGCAATGTCTCTCTTCTAATTCTCTCATTTGAACAGTAAGACATGTGCTCATCTCAGTGCTATCCCCATCAGATCCGCAATTTCAGAAGCATTAGGGAGTATTACCTAATTGATTTACCTGCCACCTAAGATTCACTCCTCAGTTACTACTTCAATAGTACTGGTTAAAACAGCAGTAGCAATAGAAACTAACTTTTTAAATACTCAGAAGTTCCAGCAGTGGTGACTACAAGACAGCTAGATTTGCTTTATGATCGCCTTCTTGAAGTCATCCTCAAAATCAACAAGACAATATAATTTTAATAAATCCCTGCCTATTCATTTCATTCCTTAGCTGTTTAATTTGCAATGCTTAAGCAATTTCAAACTGTTAATATCAATTTCTTGAGATTATATATACATATATGTATAAAGATATTCATATTTTAAATCATGAAGGATTTAATTAAGGACATATAAGTGGAAGTACCTACTGCATTACTCAGCATATTTAAAATGATGAAAGTGTTAGCAGGCTAATTGAACCTTAATCTAAAAGAATTAAGACTATTTCTATGTTTGTTTCTTTTTGGTACCAGGAATCAAACTCAGGTCCTTGCACTTTGCCAAGCAGGCACTGTGCCACTGAGCTATATGGTCCACAGTTCTATATGTTAAGAAAATAAATGTTTAATTTTATTAAAGTTACCAACCAAATCAATTATTTTATTTCCAATAATAAAGCTACCTAATTAGGGTATTTTGGTATTTTAAGCAGTTGCCCCAGGATTTCAGTCACATAGCACCAACAATAACAAAATAGTTACTACAAATGAAATCTAAAGAGAAGTTGTAAAATTTGTTGTCAATATTCAAATTTGCAAGAAGTTTGTATGTTTCTTACTTATACATAACAAAGACTTCATTGTGATTTCATAATGTTCACACACTATGAAACCTATATTAGTGCATCCTGATACTAGAAATACATAGTAAGAAAAATTGCATTTCGTGTAACTCAAATGAAGATGTTTTAGTGAAAGAATTGTCATGTGCAGTGGAGACACGGACAAGTAACTCAAAAATTGTGTTTAGCCAAAACTGGTAATGCCTGAGAATTAAACTGATCTGGATCAGTAGGCAGAAAGAAGAAGCCTAGAAGGGTTTGGCTGGGAAGGGTTTGGGTGGGAAGGGACTAATAATAATGTTGGAGCTTACTCAGAAAATAAATGGTAAATTTAAATCTATTTTCAGGCATATGAAGATTTATTATGTAGAAAATTGTGGCCAGCTGTTTTTCATCCTTAATAAGATTCACCACAGGAAATTGGCTTAAATTGTACTAGGAGGATTTTATTTCTGTTTAAGAAGTGTTAGATTTGACAACGGAGGGAAAAGAGTAGTTCCTAAGGGGAATATGATCACCTCCACTCCTAGAAAATGGTTTTATATCTTTAAAAAACAAAAAGAAAACCATGATCCCGCTAAATTTGCAAAAATCTCTTGGGGTCTGCTCAGAGGGTGGTATACTGAACAAAGACTTTCTTGATAAAAGATATGACAGAACCACTTTTGGGCAGAAGAAACATTTCCTAAAAGTGTGATTAAATTTGAGCTTGGTCATCTAAGGGCATTTTGCTTTCCCTCTTACAGGGGATTTTTTAAGAACAGAACAATTTTCCTGAAATATGAAATGATTTATTCAACTCTCTTTAGAGAAGCATCAATAACTGTGATAAAGAAAGTCTTCTCAATAAATTTTATGTAGGAATTTTCACCATGATTTACACAGGAAAAAGTAAGGTGCAACTTATATGCAATGGACTTGGTACTCAAACCCTTCAAACTGAGGAATCCAACACTAAAAAACAGTCACTTTAGCTACACTGGGAATCAAACTGTAGGTTTAGTATTGGTTACAGAGGTTTGGCATCAGTCAACACTATCTGAGAACCTGACTTCTCAAACAATACAGTCAGTTCTCTAAAAGTCCATTGTTCAGTATTCTGATCCATGAAATATTAAACACTGTGCATTTTTAATGTACTTATCAAATGATTGTAGAGCACTTATTATAAGCCAACCCCTCCCCTAGTATTATAGCTCATACTCTACAGAGTATAAGTAGAAATCAGTGATTACTGACAGGTGTTGATTGTGCTATATGTCCTGAAACTGTCCTAAGAATATGTAATCTTCATTGCATTAAGTTACTCACTATATTACATACATGTCCAAGAAGAAAACAGAAACATGGAAAAGGCTAAGTTACTTAATCTAGATAAGACAACCAGGCACCTGGATGCCAGACTCATGCTTTTATCTATTTTCTCCTACTGAAAATTTAATCTTCAGTGGTAAATTTTCTAAAGATTAAACTTTCACTTACATCACCATAAAAATGTATGAAATTGAAGAGGGGAAAAAAAGGAATAAAAAACAGTATTTGTCAGGGTAGATGTGAGTGTACTGTTTATTTTAAACATCAGGAAATACCTTGATCAATCAACAGGGCCAGAATAAAAGGCAAGAAATAGCGAACCATAGGAAAAGCTCCACCCAAGAAGGCAGCAGCAGTGACAATATCGAGTGCCTGAGGGGAAGCACTCTTAGTACATGCAGAAAACTAATAAAAATCCAGAGTTGCTGAAGTAAAGTGATGGAAGTAATGGTATGAAATGACACCAGAAAAAGTGACAGCTGTCAAAGTATTTTGAACCAAGGCAACAGTTATTTACTTTTTACTTTGTGTTTTTACTACCGCATGTATACAGTATACAGTGACTGCATTTCTCACGGGCAGTTCGTTCATGCACATAACATCCTTTTTCATTCCCTGCCCTTACCATCCCTCCTCTCTCCCTTCATCTTTTGGTCCTCACCTCATTTACAGAAGATCTATCTCATCATTTCCTTTTATCTGTGTTTTAACTTGTTCTCTATTTATACTTTGGCTTTCTCATATAGGAGAAATCATGTGCTATTTAAGTATCTGTATTTGACTTATTTCACTTCACGTTATAGTCTCAAGTGCATCCATTTTTATACAAATCACTCAAATTTATCATTCTTCATGGCAGAGTAATATTCCCTTGTGTGTAAATATCACATTTTCTTTATCCATTTATCTGTTGATGGTCCTGCAGTCTGCTTCGAAGATTGAGCTATTTTGAACTGTGTAACTATAAAACTGGTTATGCATGAATCACTGTAATATGATGTCATTAACTCTTCTGAGAAGATACCTAGAAAAGGAATAGATAGGTTGAATGGAATGTCTATTTTTATGTGTTTGTGGAATCTCCATACTGATTTCCATAGTGATTATACTAGTTTACATTCCTAGCAATAATGTAGAAGTGTTCCTTTTTCTCTACAGCCTCACCAACACTTGTTATTTATTTCTTAATGAGAGCTGCTTTTCTGGAGTGAAATGGAATCAAAGTATTATTTTAATTTGCATTTCTCTAATGGTGAGATGTTAAACATTTTATAATGTATTTATCAACCTTTTGTGCTTGTTCTTCTGAGAAGTGTCTATTCATTTCAGTTTTCCATAATGTGATTGGGTCTTTTATGTAGGGAGGTCTATTCTTTATCTCTTTATATACTTTAGATAGACTTTCTCTAATAGCTGGAAATATTTTTTCCCACTTTGTAGGTTGTCTTTTTACTCTTCTGGCTAATTCATTTGTTATTCAGAAGTATTTTATTTTGATATGGTCCTACTTGCTGATTTGTGATATTAGTTCTTGTGAAATGGGGGTTTATGCCAACCCTTTGGAAAGTTTTAAGCCATGGCAGGGTGGGTGTAAAACTCATGAGGTTAAAGTTTTCAAAGATAAGCTAGGCTGCATATCTAAAACAATAACGGAAAAAGTAGGGGACTAGGTAAGAGGGTAATGAAGTCCAGTCACAAGATGATGGGGACAGAATATTGTCAAAATTGCCATAATTGTATTACACAGGCTTAGAGACACTGTTTGGTCCTCCATATCCTCTTGAGATGGCACCTCTGTGGTTGTATCAGTCAGTGTTTTACTAGAGAAACAGATATAACACAAGCTATACAAATGTATAAGAAATTACAAGATTGGCTTACAGTGGTCAGCTACAGAGTGGGATGAGGAAGCGTGCAGCGGGTGTCTGCACACTGAAGACCAAAGGATTCAGTCCAAGGTCTGCAGTTCACTGCAGTGTCCCATGCAAGTCCATATCAGGAGGCAGATGGGTCTGTGACAGAAGGCTGATGAGTCTATGCTGCCAGAAGGCTGAAGGATCCAAGGCAGAAGCCGAAGAGTCTGCGCTAGAAGCCAGGAGAGGATGTCCAAGCTGAAGGCAAAGA